CAGCACGCCCTAGAGTAACAAAACAGGTTGGTTTTGACCCTTGGTCTGAACTTCATACCTGATCCTATGTCAATGGAACTTGTTCATGCAATTTGTGTGTTCCCTAAGAAACTATCTCACAGATGTATGGCTTCATCTAACACTCTGTTGTTGCATCAGCTTGAAGAATTCCCTAGAAATCGTCTTCACTGCATTCATGGCCGGACCTTGGCCTGCCACAGGTCAGCTACCTTACAAGGTACATGTGAATTTTGGATATCAAACGATCCATTATTCAATTATCTTCAGGAATATGGCGCGACCGCGCCGCGCTGTTCGGAAATCACGCCGGAAAACCCTCCGAGGGAGGCTAAACTAACGCCGCGAGCGCGTGTTAACAACTAAAGGCAAAAACCTTCGAGGGAGGCTAAACTGACGCCGCGAGCGCGTGTTAACTAAAGGCAAAAACCTTCGAGGGAGGCTAAACTGACGCCGCGAGCACGTGTTAACAACTAAAGGCAAAAATCTTCGAGGGAGGCTAAACTGACGCCGCGAGCGCGTGTTAACAATTAAAGGCAAAAACCTTCGAGGGAGGCTAAACTGACGCCGCGAGCGAGTGTTAACAACTTAAGGCAAAAACCTTCGAGGGAGGCTAAAACTGACGCCGCGAGCGCGTGTTAACAACTAAAGGCAAAAATCACCTTGTTGTGCCAAAGACTTCATCCTTGATCTGGGCCCCACCAAATTCCTTCTTGAGTGTGGCCTTTGTAGAGGCATACAGCATCTTCTGCCTGACTGGCGAGTCATCCGGTGACCATGTGATCAGCAGCCACTCAAAGCCCATTGAATTCTTGGAGTCTAGCCTGCAACAGTGCCATTTATGTTACCTTTATGTGGGCATGTGCTATGTACACTTGAAGTCACTTCAGCTACAACCATATGTTAATGCTTTTGCACATCAGTGAGTGCTGTAACATCACAGCCCACCATCACAGCCCTGTAACGGGCAATATTGTCGCCATGACAAGATGCATGGTTAACAAGGTTGAATAGAAATGGCAATGAACGGACTTGAGCTTCTCATTTTGCAGTACCATGAGTTACAAATTCTGACAATGACAGCTCCATATATCCAGTTTCAAAAAGCTGGGAGGTGCTGGTTTAACAACTAGCAAACATGGGTAACACTACCCATCCCACAAGTTTCAGGCTATGCCCATGCATCATAGCAACACTCAACCTGCCATGCCAATGTTCAATGTGTCAAGCTATTTATGCAACACAAACACCACTTGAAATGATGATTCAGGGGTGTCATTTACTTTTCAGTCAGGGTTCAAAGTGGGGTGGAGGCTATATTTATGCTCTTCTTTATCTTTATCTTTATCTTTATCTTTATCTATTTAAGCTTTCCCTGCATTTCAGGAAGAAAATGGCCAATGGAGCAATCAGGAAAAAGCCATTTTTGGGCATATTTTGAGGGCAGGGTTTTATATTTTTTGCTGTCTCTCCCCCCCCCCCCCCCCCCACTCATGTTGTGAAAGCATGCCCCTGTGCTGACTTGTTTACAATATGCATTTGAATTGAACATTTCATGGATAGTGTTGTTTGGCCGGCAACTCCTGTTATCTACGAAACACTTCGCAGGTCTAGCCATTGGATAAACAGACCTATACAGGATGTATGTCGGCTGCTTGTCATCTGTGAGATCTGGAACTGTGCTGTCCCAGTCAGTTTCCCAGGTAGACTCAGCAGGCACATGGGTGTGGGAGCTTAACTGCTCTGCAAGAACAATGATGGAGTTACAGCACTTCATCATACACACATGAAAATGCAAACAGCAGCTCACTTTTTTTGCACAACTGGAGCAATGTGTCTCAGACATTATCCTTGTGTCTGAGATGAGACTGCTTTCCAAAGTAGCTTTATGCTTCTCAGCATCAAGATGCCAGTGGCTGTGAAAATGATAGTGATGAGTGTGGTCTTTACACAAAACTCAGCACACAAGTTGTACATGGTTGATGTGATTACTTGGTGGTGTAGGAGAGTTGTGCAAGAAGTCATCCAATGTTCATCCACTTACAGGAATCACCTGATCCATGAACATTTAATGCATCCATGTTTCTTTTGCTTACCATCTTCAATGGATATTTTGATGGCCCTGACACTTCCATTTCTGCAGCTGCCAAAAAATGTCATCAACTCCTGGTTGGCTACAATCCCTGTTTGGTGGGACATCTTTCCTCTGTAAAGAATGAAGAAAGTGGTCATGAGGAGGATTTCCTTACATCATCATTCTCTGTTGGCAGTCAGCAGCAGCCACCAACCTGAAACCATATTGAGGCAATCACACACCTCCCTCCTTCCTTGTTCTCCTCCTCTTCCCCCGCTCCATGGCATGGTTCTAAAAATTATCAATGGTTGGTTTCTAGCATCAAATTTACACAGCTTAATAATCTTTTCATCGAGTTCTGCTGCAGAGAATAGCCAGGTCCCACGTCACACTTTGCCACCCAGCCGAGGTGTTATCCTTGAATGCTTGCGGAACACTTTTGTACGACAAATATTGGTTTGGCTTGATGGTGGAGCCAGACAGCACTGCAGCACACAGTGGTGTCCTTTAAGAACAATCTATCATGCAGCAAGACAACTGCATGCATGAGAAAACGACCCCCGTTGACAATGTTGCCTTAGTTCTGAATTGTCATGTGTCCAGACTACACCAAAGAACATCAGTCCATAACAATAGCCCTTGATGTCAATACTTCTATACCCTGCCGAGCTACTGTCTCTGAACATGGAATCCTAAAATGCTAATCAGGAGCCTAGGCTGGTAGTCATTAATCATAGGTTTTGGAAACCATATATTAAAATTAAACATTGTCATCATTACTGTAGTTTCAATTATCACTCACTTCACCCCCATTAGTCATTCCAGTGGCTCCATTGTAATAGCCCAGGTGGTTAGAGTGCCTGCCTCCTGATATTTATGTGCTTTCTCTTCAATTTCAGGCCTTCTGGCTGCTTGCTAGTTGCCCTTGACTGTGACAGCCTTTAACTGGTGACTTCAGCCACACTGGAGTTCAGATGATGTCAGAGGGCAGCAAATCCCCTTCTGTGTATTGCTGTATATCTCCAACTCTCTATACACCCCTCCCCTGCTACATGGCTCCATATGTCCAGAAGAAGCAGGTCAGTTATATATTCCTTAAAAGCCACTGTGCCAATCCTTATGAGCAGGGTAGATCTGAGTACAGTTACATATATACTCAACATACTGAGTGTACTCATCATTTGTCAATCAGACTGAGATGGCCATCAGTCAGTGGCAGCAGCTGAGCTAGAAGTCAGGAGAATTCAGAGGGCAGGACAAGGCACCAAATATTGCAGCACATTTAGCCCTTTTCACAAAACTTTACTGATGACCAGGAAATGTATTATTATTGGATAGGTCTGGGCTTAGGCAGCACACACTACTTAGCATGGGCTATGACCCCAGAAATCTAGCAATTGAAAATCTTGTCATGCAACATAAGTTTAATATATTATGCAAGTTTGAATGGGCATTCACCATTGATTCTTCTGTTACCTGTGGACCCAGCAAAAATATTAAAGTCACATAATGTTGGCAACTGCTGTAAGGATATCTTTTATTGCAGTCCAGTTCTTTAGTTTGTTATTTTGTAGTCATTGAACTGAAAAGGCACATCCAGCACAGTTTTGGCAAGACATCCAAAGCCCCTATTAAGTAGTATGGTATTTACTGCTTCCTGATGGAATGGACCAGGTTGGATCGGCCTGAGCTGAACTGAGATCAACTATACTGTGTTGGATTGCCCTGAGCTGATCTGAGATTAATTGGGCTGGGCCAGTGGCAGTCAGGTTATGCATGTTGGGTTAGTGTAGATTAGCTTAAAGGGACATGGGAGTTCAGGAGCAAGGACTGGTGCCTTAACTTGCCAAAAATATTCCTGGACCTTTAGGGTGACCAGCATTCAACTGTTGATCATATTTTCATGGTTTCCTCATAACTATGTCCAAAAACAGACCCTACACTTAATCATATGTTGCATTTTATTCACTGGCATTTTTTGAGAACACACATAGCAACAGTTGGAGAATGGGAGTTTGAAATCCTTTGAATACTGAACTATCATATGCCAAAAAAATCAAACTCCATACACCATATCATCATGTAATGTCATTAGGGCTTTAAGACACTCCTCTGCTCAGGCTATATGGCATTGCCTGTCTCTCATCATAGGCCTTATAGTTGTCTGGATCTGTAACTGCACATGTATGTCAATATGTAGAATACACCATGACTGCTGGTATAGCAAAAACCACATAAAAGTAGCAGAGCCTAGCAGACACAACTTAATAGCAGCAATGTCACAATGAAAAAGGACAGATGAAGGTTATAGAAAAGACAATGGCACTAAGTTCATGTTTCATGCTGGCATTTCATGAAGGATTAGACTGGCTACATTCCAGTGAAATACCTCATTTTAGAAGACTTTACTTTACTTCAGTTAACACCTACAAAAATACATGTCACACAGAGGACCATTAAACCAGGAAACACTGTCAATACTCTGAACAAAGGATCTTTACAGCAAACAAAATTGAGTGACCGTGATAGCCATGGTTAATTTAAGCCTCCAGGGCAGCCCATCCCCGCCCAGACTGATCGCCAGCTCGTCAATCACCCCTGGACGCTGGATCTCGCAAACCACATCGGAAGCATGAAGGTTAAAACAGCATGCCAACAACACCTGGGGCATAAATTGCACTCCTCGCGTTGTTTTCCACTTGCCTATGTGTTCAGGTTTCACGAAGTACCACCACTGCCGAACCGCTCCAACGTTTGAAGCAATGCATATGCTATTATTGTTGTATCGCCTTGTTACAGGCGTGTTACGGGCCTCACGCCTAATGCGCTGGAAACGTCACCGCTTGGCCGGCGCACAGGAGCTTCCATATCCATTTCGTGTTCCCAAATTCTGTCATTGCGCTGAGTTCGTCAAGTGCGTGGCCCAGCGAGCAGGCAAGAAGCTGCCCGGCCATCAATCGAGCAAGCAGGGTCTGTTTAAACAAACGATCATTTAAGTTCTTGCCCTGCTCCTCCCTTAATGTCGTGCTATTCCTGGTCCATGTAGGAATGTTGTGATCCATTCAGCTTCAGGCATTTACTGGCCTTTCCTGTTCACGCGGCCCCCACTCAATAAAATAGATATGATCCTTGAACGTACAATACAAGTGCCATTACTGCCATTCAGATCGCGGATGCTAGGGGTTGCTGAATGTTCCAGTCCCAAGTCATAAAAATTGCTGTCTAATTTGTACCCAGGGATGTGCAAAACTTCTGTATATTTTTTAAGTACCTGCCTATTCTATTTTGACCATACTAGTCTGCTTGAAAATCACTTGGTGAGCTGTTGGCAGCATCATTTATGCGATAAATGTGATGCTCCAAAATAATCAAGAGTTATATATTGTGATGTGTTGCATGTGCATGCCTTTGTGATTGTGCATGTACTGTTGGTGTCACATGTGGTGGTGGCTCGCATAGTGGTTGCTTGGTGCATGTGGTCGTGGACGATCTTGTTGCCGCAGGCTGCATGCCCTTGTGCTAGCTCCCAGGGCTGCATGTGGTGTATGGCCAGTTGCCATCTGGTGAGTCCCTTGCATGTGTTGCAGAATGGGTGTCTAGTTTGATGGTGTGCTACTTCCTGAATAACCTGCAAGTTGGCAGGCATCACAGTATAGAAAAGGCAAAAAGGCCATGTTCTGCATTAAAGTGTATGCTTGAAAGGTACAAAATTAGGCATCAGTGTGCTCAAAATTAAGTAACATGTCTGTGTAAGTTTCATGTCACTGTGGGATAGTTTGGCAAATGCAAGCATGCAAACTGAAAACATTTGATGTTTGAAGGATTGTCTTTGGAAATGGCAGAGGTTTCAATTATTGGTTCAGAGGGATGAAATAAAACATGTAATACAAAATACTGGCCTAGGCACTTACCCATATCAGCAAGATCTCATTGGGCCCAGTTCATTCCTGTTGTTCTTTTTTCAAAGGCCCAATAGTTCTTAGTATGGAAATAACAGGTGGTCACATCCCACTATCCAAGTTGTGAAAGGAGGCTTGGCAGAATGAGGATTAACATTTCAAGCTGTGCATGCCTCAGCAGTCTTATGTACTGCAGCATGCACCCAGCATGTGCAAGTATCAAAGTTGTGTGGTTAATGCAGGCCTCGACCACCCAGACCTCGCTCTGGAGCACACTGATGGCTGCTGTCGTCCGCAGGCAGGCAGCTGCGATGCGGGTGGTGTTCCTGCACCCGGATCTGGGCATCGGCGGCGCCGAGCGTCTGGTAGTGGACGCCGGCCTGGCGCTGCAGCGCCGCGGCCACCACGTCTCCTACGTCACGGCGCACCACGACCGGCGCCACTGCTTCCCCGAGACACTGGACAGGCTGCCGGTGCGCGTGTGCGGCGGCTGGCTGCCTGGCAGCGTGTGCGGCCGTCTGCGCGCCTTCTGCGTCTACCTGCGCATGGTGTACGCGGCGCTGTGCCTGCTGCTGGCGCCCGGGCCGCCGCCCGACCTTGTCTTCTGCGACCAGGTGTCGGCGTGTGTGCCGCTGCTGCGCTGGGCTGGCCTGCGCGTGCTCTTCTACTGCCACTTCCCGGACCAGCTGCTGACGCAGCGGCGTTCGCCGCTTAAGCGGCTGTACCGCGCGCCGCTCGACTGGCTGGAAGAGCGCTCGACAGGCGCCGCTCACCGCGTCCTGGTCAACAGCCGCTTCACCGGCCAGGTGTTCGCCGAGACGTTCCCGCGCCTGCGCCACCGCCGGCCGGACGTGCTGTACCCGTCGCTGGACCTGGCCGCGTTCGACGCGCCGTCGGACCTCTCGCTGGCTGAGGTGCTCGGCGCGCCGCCGCCGC